CATAGCAAGTGTTCAATTACAAGAAAATAAAATCCTATACTTTTAATTGCAGAAATAATACATTCTCTTTTGTTTGAATCATTCTAAATTGAATAAGCCTAACTTTTATTTGAGAAGTGAGGCATTTCTTTTACTTGCTAGCATAGCTATTGAAGGCAGGCTTACACCTTTGTAATATCTTTAATGTCATATGTTCTACTACAGTTATGTTCTTCGATGAGGATGAATGACCAAGAATGTGATGGTGGTGTTTAGTTGCAAAACATGGATGTGGTGGTGGTTTCTTCTTTTGTAGTGTTGTGCTTTTGCACACTAACTTGCTAGGAGGCTCTAGCTTTGGTTTTAGCTATATGGCTCAATGATGCATACCGGTGGTCATCTTGGCTTAAACTTAGAACTGCTGAGATGGTAATGGTTTTGAATGTATTGATGCCGGAACATTTGGACATCATCTATGTACCTATGAATGTGCTGAACATTTAGACACTTATAAATGTATTTATTATGTTGTGATGTGTCATGAAATTACTGTATGGATAATATATATTTTAATATGTTGTTGCTACTATTTTAAAATAAATTATTTTCTGTGCGTTTAACTCTTTTTTCTGTGAGGATGGCTACAGAAAAAATACTTTTAATCTGGGCGAAAGGAATTTTTCTGTGAGTTCACCTAGACCGATAGAAAAATACCCAGATTTTCTGTGTGTTTATTTTTTTTTTTTCTATGTAGATATCCTCACAGAAATTTTATTTTTAATCTAGCCAAACACAATTTTTCTGTGCGTGTAAGACCGACAGAAAAATTATTTCTGACAGCGAACCGACAGAAAAAATCGATTTTTCTGTCATTCTATTTCTATGGGTAATTTTCTGACGGTACACCGTCAAAAAAATATTTTTCTATGGGTATTTGTATTTTTCTGTGGATTTTTACACACACAGAAGTATTCGAGTTTCCAGCAGTGAAACACCTAAGTGCAAGAATGCATGAAAGAGGTATACTAGTGCTGGAGCACTCAAAAAGAGAACTGAGACGAAAACTAAGCATATGCTATACCGATCTCTCCTCTCCTAGCTCTTCACCTCTCGCATAAATGAACAAGTGCAAGGAGCTGCATGTTTAGGTACTGCTATGGAGTAAGTTGAAAGGCCAAGCCTTGGACATCCCCCAATCGTATCCATGTATTTGTAGTATGTATGAAAGAGATGCGCACGTAGAAGTTAAGGAAGCCATTGCACCACAAGGTATATAGATATATAGAGGATGCACAGCAACTACACTCCCATGCAACTAACAATGAGCTATCCCCTTGTAGTGCCATGAGGGTGAGGCAAGGACAGCATGCAGAGAAAGTTGAGACCACAGCCCAGAAAATAGATACAAAAAAAAAAGGCATTGGGACATGTAGGTGATAGTTACAATTACAAATAAGCAAAGCAACTTGACGAGTCAAAGACTTTGGCAAAACTAGTATTTAATAGCCTCTATGTTAGATCAGCATAATGCAGTCGCAGTATTCATCTGATAATCTGATATAGAGTAGTAGTGCTTCGTTAGAGTATAGTAGTAGTAAGAACATACTACTATAGAAATACGAGAGAACTTTCGAGTCAAAGTTCGTGTACTGCAAAACTAGTATTACTATAGTTATCTAAGTTAGAAGCAATAATGTGAATCGCAGGAACAATCTGATAATCTGCATAATCCTAGCTTATCCACACATTGTTAGGTTGATACTGCTATCAAGGAACTAACAACTAGAGTACTACTACATGTATTCTTTAATACAACGCATTTGGTATATAGCCGAGACCCCAACGTAGCATATCGTAATATATGCCCTCCAGCACATTGAGGCAGTACGTACAGTTGTTTAATACAATTGCCCAGTGCATCAATCCTAGAATTATCCACACATTGTTAAGTTGATCCCTGCCTTATCAGTTAACTAACAACTAGAGTACTACTAAATGAAGATTCTTCACATCAAAACGCATTGGAGTATAAATGCAGAAATCAAAAACTAAGCATACAGTTAATATATACCTCCAGCATGTTTTGAGGCTAATTATCAACGATTGGACAATTATTATCAAATACAAACAATGCCCAGTGCATCAATAGGAGAATGCCGATTTGGGGGCCCTGAACTACTCATCCCCCAACAAGAGAACAAGGTCTCGTTCACTTTACAAAAAAGTGAATCTGATGAATAGTATTATTTTTGTCTTATTTGGTAAATATTATTCAATCGTGGATCAACTAGGTTCAAAAGATTCATCTCGTGATTTTCAACTAAACTGTATAATTAGTTATTTTTTTATCTACATTTAATACTCCATATAAGTGACTAAAAATTAATGTGATAGAGAAAGTGAAAAAATTTAGAATTTGATGACATCTAAACAAGGCGAAGTACTACTGCTTGGCATGGAGCCATGGACGCATGGTGACGAAGAAGTGAAGTGTTTGTGTGCCATACTGCCATTGCAGTACAATGGTACAGGCCATGGACAAGGAAATGCATGCTGTGGTACACAGGTGAACACTGGGCAAGTGTGAATGCTTAACAACAAAAACAAATGAGGCCTTGTTTAGATTGCAAGTTTTTTCACTCTTTTTTCGTCACATCAAATCTTTGGACACATATATGGAGTATTAAATATGGATAAAAAAATAACTAATTACACAGTTTGATTGTAAATTACGAGATGAATCTTTTGAGCCTAGTTAGGTCATGATTGGACAATAATTATTAAATACAAACAAAAGTGCTATAGTACTAAATACTGATTCCTAACGGCAATCTAAACGAGGCCTGAGTAGTAAAAAGTTGCATTCTTACCCACTCAGTCTGTGTTTAGTTCGCAAAATGAAAATCTTTGATGTCACATCGGATGTTTCGAGAATGTCGGAAGGAGTTTTCGGATACTAATAAAAAAAACTAATTATATAGCTCGCCTGAAAACTACGAGACGAATTTATTAAGCCTAATTAATCCATCATTAACGCATGGTAGTACTGTAGCACTTATGGCTAATCATGGACTAATTAGTCTTAAAACATTTGTCTCGCGATTTCCAACCAAACTATGCAATTAGTTTTTTTCATCTATATTTAATACTTTATGTATGTGCTGCAAGATTCAATTCGATGTAATAGTTTAAGATGAAAATTTTTTAAACTAAGGGCGTGTTTAGTTCCGAAAATTTTTGGCTTTTGGCTACTGTAGCACTTTCGTTTGTATTTGGTAAAAATTGTCCAATTATGGACTATTTAGGCTTAAAAGATTGGTCTCACGATTTCTCGGTCAACTGTGTAATTAGTTTTTTTTCATCTATATTTAGTACTCCATACATGTACCGTAAGATTCGATATGACAGATACTTTACAAAAAATTTTAGGTTTTGAAGACATCTAAACGGGGCCTAAACCAGGCCTTGGACATGAAAGCCTGAGGGACGGAGACAGATCTCAGAAAGATGCAAGAAGCACTATGATGAGCAGGGGGGAGGGCGCGGTAGCGTTGTACCTTTTGGCTTACAAAAACGATAAAGGTAGTACAAATGGCCTGCCCAGGCACGTGCAGATGGCCAAACATATGATATAAATAAATACCTATATGGCTATATCCATGTGGAGAAAGAGAGGGTAAAGTTTCTTTAGGCAGTGGGGTGTTTGTCATACGTACATATTCTCCTGCTCCATCACCATGCGGCCATGCCTTCTCTGCTCCACCCTGACCTCCTCCTCCTCTCCTCACTCACTCGTTTAGATTAGAGTTAGAAATTAGTATTTGGCACTAAAGCACTTTTATTTGTATTTAATAATTATTATCTAATTATGATCTAATTAGACTTCAAAAGATTTGTCTCATAATTTATAATCAAACTATGTAATTAATTATTTTTTTATCTACATTTAATACTTCATATATATATATATCTAAAAATTTAATATGATAGAAAGAAATTAAAAAAACTTACCATCTAAACAAGGCCTCTCTCTCTCTCTCCTCCCTCGCTAGTGCCTTTCATGGCTGGAAGATTCTTGGTTTGGGAAGATGGTGAGACATGACATCTCAGAGCTAGCCCTGCTACAAGAAAAAGGAGCGCTGGGACAAGCTTGGAAAAGTAGAGAAACATCGAGCTACAGTACATTACTCTAGTTTAAGTGTAGCACTGTGAACACCAATCCTGGATTATAAATCAATTTTTCAAATCAGCACTAATAATAATCCACGAACAGACTAAAAATATACATTACATGCGCTCAAAAGCAACCTTTGTTCTCATAAAAAGTACTTATACTACTATTATATATGAGCCTACATGACTACATCATAATTAAAGTAGCAAGTCAAAAACAAAATGAATATCTCTAATAATTTGGATGAATACACAAACTTGCAAGTCCCCTTGAAATTACTAAGATCTAACTCTACACCAGTAGCTTCAAAGTTCACACACTGCACCCGTTGTTGTTACCAACCAAACACACTGATTCACTAAACCTTGTATCAATGTGTGGCGTGAACACATTGATGTATACCATCTAACTTGAAGCCGGCCTAAAAACAAGCTTCCCAAGCCCCCGGTAAGTGCTACAGTGAAGCAGCTACCATGGCAGATCAAGTGAAATATCAGAAATGAGAGAGGCACCAAGAGATGTCGATCAAGCTATGTATCATGACCCCTGAAATTTTTTTGTACTCTCTGGTGTGTTAGAGCCCCAATTAAAGTCGACGGTCAGCAAAAACACACATGAACTCGCGACGGCGACGGCGACGGCGAGAAGACGAAGAACACCACCAGGAACCAACACTAGGAAAGAGATCAAACATCCCATGTCAGGGCGATCACCACCACCGATGCCAACCTCTTATTGAACCCTTGTCTCTACTGCATGCCTATAATGTCTCCAGTCGCCCATGCACGCTCGCACGGAGGCTTTTGCATGAGCCATGCATGGCGCCGCCCCCGTGCATGTTTCTCCATTACCAAGAAGCGCCACTGCCGCCGATCATGCCGCTCCAGAACCCCGGCGCGTCGTGCCCGGCACCGGGGCCGCCGTCGCCGCCTCCGCCTTGCTCCTTGTTGTGGTCAAACTGATTATGGCTGCTATTTCCATCGCCGGCGCCACCTGTTGCACCACCGGCCACACCACCACCTCCAGAGCTAACCGGCGGCTTCAAGTCCTCGAAGGGGAACAATAACCTGCCCGCGTTCTCCGGCACGCCCTGCAGCCCGGCGCCGGAACCGTACCCCGCCGCGGCAGCACCGGACCCCGGGCCGTGCGCGTCCAGAGAGAAGCCGAGCACGCTCTGCGACGGTGGAGGCGGCGGCGGCGGCGTGCGGAACTCTCCGAGCGCAAACCCTGCCGCCGTGTAATCTCCTGGCATCTGCAGCGGCACCTGCAGCGGCATGTAGCAGCCGGAGCTCCGCAAGAGCTCCATTGCCGAGAGCGCGCCGACCGCGGGCCCCGCGCCGCCGCCCCGGCCGTTGCTCGTCATCCCGCCGCCCGGGTTGCACACGTTGCTGCTCTCCAGGCTCGGGAACGCCGCAAACTCGGGGGCGTGCAGGCCACCGTGATGCGGGAACGCCAGGTTGAGGTCGTGCGCGCCCTCGTGCGCCAGCTTCGGGTTCTTGGACGCCGCCCCCGCCGTGCTGGCCATGGACGAGCTCGTGACCGAGGCGGAGGTGGAGGCGGACGCGGACGCGGACGCCGAGGAGCGCTTGTTCTTGCGTGAGCCGCCGCCCACGGGGACGTTGCGGAGGGATCCGCCCTCCGTCCAGTAGCGGCGGCACGTCTTGCAGAAGTAGCGTGGCTGCTGGAGGCTGTAGTTGTTGTAATAGCAGAATTTGGTGTTGGTGGAGTTGCACCGCGGGCAGTTGAGCGCCTTCTCCTTCTGCGGCCGCGCGCGCCGCTCGGTGCTACCCGCGCCCGCCAGCGGCGCCGGCGCGCCACCGCGCAGGGCACCGCCAGGTGCCGACGACGGCGCCGGCGCCGGCGGGTTTGGATTCGAGCCTTGGCTCGGATTTGCGGCGCCCGCGTTGGCCGCCATCAGCATCTCCTCCATGGGCTTCACCAGCCCTAGGCCCTGATGAGGACACGCGCATGGTGCAGCAACAGCACATCATTAGAACGCAGAGGATCAGGACCAAGTTAGTTAAACAACCACAGCAAGAAGCAAGAACAGTGAACAAAAATAGCATGTGTGGGCATGCAGATGCAGCAGGGAAGGAGAGGGGGGGAGCGAGATGTGTGGGGATGCTAGAATCTTTATGGCGCAACTAAGAACCAAACAAATGGATACAAAGGTGATGAGGCAGGCCGGGGAAGAAAAAGATGAAGAAAGAGAAAACACAACACACCACAGCACAAAACACACCTTTGCTGCTTGTGCTCTTGTAGGGTTGTGTGTTTCAGTACTACTACTGCCACTGCTGCTTTCTGCTACAGATCACCATGGGACGACATGGCTTCTCTTTTGATGCAACAAGGGGTGGTGAGCCGAGGAGAGAGAAGGAGAAAAGCCATGGAGGAGAGGTAAAAAAAGGAGGATAAAAAGGATGATAGAGAGGAAAGGGGGGTTAGAAAGGGAGGAAAAGAAAGGTGGTGGTGGTGGTGTGTGTGTGTGCTGCTTTCAATCAACGATTAAAAGGGCCGGGCAGGTAGTAGCAGAGGATTAAAGCCACAAAGGCCTCACCTCCAAAGGCTACGGATGAGATAGATGCTGATGATGGTATGCATAGATCTACACGAAGGATATAAAGGAAGAACAGAACCCAAGAAGAGACGGGAGGAAGCATGAGAGATCATGGCCTGGTCTCATCAAATAAAGCGCAGCACGCACCAAGAACAAGGCGCAGAGAGGAAGATGAACACCAACAGGATCGAGAAAGAACGAAGGCCAAATTCGCACAGATGATGCATATGTCCGGGCCGGGTAGCTTAGATGCATGTGGTTGTGGTGCAGAATTGATCTTTGTTTTGCAAGACAAATTTACCTGCTGCCAGTGGGCTGCATCCATGCAAGAACTCCAATTCCTTTGCTACCCCCACAATTCTTTGCTTCTTGGATGCAGGAGTGGTCCGAGGAGGGGAGAGTTGAGAGGAGGAGGGTGAAGAAGACGAGCCTCCGCTGGATTTCTTGACCAAAGAGGAGGAAGAGAGAGAATGCCCTGTGGTTGGCCAGTGCGAGTGGGAATTATGCCTCCTCCCCCTCCCTCTCCACGCTCCTCTCTCTTGCCCAATAGCCAATCTAGTAGTATGGTGGAAGATTCTTTTTTAAAATATTTTTATGCACCTCTCAGCTGCTCGCGTCGTCAGTGATGGGAAAAGAATTTGGAGCGCTGTGTTTGGCCTGCAATTGTGGCCACAGCAATTTGGTTGTGCTGTTGATAAGTACTAGTAGGCAGCTGCCGATCGAGAGCCGTTGCGTTCTTGCTCATGGACTCGTGAGGTCCACAGCAGTCAACCGGCCGGGATTCCACAGAGGAACGCGGAGGAAGCCACCAAGGGAGGAAGCCCTGGGAATGGCGGTTTGTGGTGCGCGAGGGCGGCGTGGCACGTGCGGCCAGCCCGGCTGCATTCCCTCCCTGGGCGTCACTGTTTAGTGGTGCTTTCCCCGTTCTCCCTTTTTCTTGGCACATGCGACATGGCACCTGCTTCTTTCGTATTTCCAATCCGAAATTATAAATCCTTTTTGACATATACTAGTGTTATATAAATATATAACATATTTCTAGATGTATAAGAATTATATAAAATATGGAAGAAGCACACTGCAAGCTCAAACAAATGATCCCATACCACGGGGTATGTACCACCTCTTATAATAAACTCTAATAATCATGAAGGCAAATTGGATCCTCTCCGTAAGCGTTGACCCCAGTTTCTTCTCCTTCACTACTCCCCGTTCCAAATTATACAAGTCGTTCTGGCTTTTTGCTTTTTCTGAATACATGTTTTTGCTAATATATAACTTAGTTATGTACTCCCTTTGTCCCCCAATTAACTGTTGCCATTGATTTTCGTGCCAAAAATTTAACTCGATTTGTAGAAAATACGTGTAATATTTGTATCTTCAAATAATTTTATTTAAAAACTAAATTCAAATATTTATCTAATAATATTAATTATGTATCATAAATATTAATATTTTTTATATATATTTAATCAAAGTTGTTTCTTGATAAACGAAAACGATAGATATTTAGGGATGTGGAAGTATCTAGAAAAGCTGGTACGGAGGAAGTAACTATTTTTTATGGGTTTTTATCTTATATATTGTATGTAGATGTACGTTATGACTGAAATGATAAAACATAATTATTGTTCAGGTAGGTGGACATTTCTTGCATAACCACCAAGCTAAAAAGGTGGTATACAAGTACCATTGGCTGATTAGTCACATGATCATATCACACACCTATAGCGTACCACAGGATGCGTGGACCAAATACATGTTTTGAGGTTTTCAAAATAACTTTCTAAAATAAACAAATCGATTATCTGTGACACGCACACACACTAAAATGTCGTAGTCGAAATAAAGCAAGGTACGTGGTTGTTGCCAAAAAGACGCACGCCTACGTGCAACTTGGAGGTGGATACCATCTAATGATCTAACTTTGTAGCGCGCATCGTTTACCTTTATATTCCCATGTTTTTTTTTCTCTATTGTTTTTTCACCAGTACGTAGGGTGCTTGTGTGTCTTTGTTGGAAAAAAATGGGGTGCTTATGTGTAGCTAACTACTCCATTCTTTCCAGATGTATGGTATTTTAGATATGTTTGGATCTATTAGCAACTAAAATTAGCAGTTGATGATCTAGATATGCATATATGATGCATATATGATAATTTTAGCAACTAAAATTATAAGTCGCTTTGATTTTTTTGGTTTATTTATTTTGCTATGTATCTAGACATGTTATTATATCTAGATGCATAGCAAAATGGATGTACCAAAAAAATCAAAGTGACTTATAATTTGGAACGGATGGAGTAGCTATCAACTGGTGGAGTTGCTAACAATTAATTCATTAGTTAGCAGATGGGGTGCTAACAGTTTATATGCACGTCTAACCAACTATCCAGCTACCTATTAGCAGGTGATCCAAACACCCCACTAATAATTAGCGGCTATTATCACTAGAAAAGTAAAACAAAGATGTGGTTGGTTGTTCCATAAAACGAGTTGCCCGAACTTGTATGGACAAACATATGGACATCTATATAATACCAAACAAAAGCAACATCAAGACATATATCATAGTTGATTTAATCAACCTAATGATGTTATAAATAGGGATTGTCTACTACTATATGTCTGGGTGAACAACTTCCCTCCTACACCCAAATTTTATTATGAGCATGTATGTTATAAGAAAAAAAAGATGCTTTAGATAAGTTCTGCAATCTGCATCTAGATTAAAACTGTTGTACGAACCGGGTGAAATTTTCCTTCCCCCATACCTGAATCTTTATTACATCGGTCCTTCCTAGAAATTACATCAAAATAATCATCGCCCTGTTCGCTTGATCGTTTCTGTGGCTTATAAGCCGGCTGATGTTGTTTTGTTATGAGAGAAAAACATTATATTATAACCGATAAGCATGGCTGATACGATCAAGCGAACATGGTTGTCATTAACTCTAGTACACATCGAGTGTAAACCTAACATAAGTTGTCAATAACTTAAATTCGGACTTGGGAGAGATTTCACGTGAACCTTCAAAAAAATTTTTTGTGATTACACAGTACAAAATAGACACGCAGAACGACGCACGTATACTCACCCCTATAAACACACGCACGTAAACTTCACTCCTAGGAGCATATTCGAAAACTAGACTGATAAAACCTTGAGATTAACGAAGTCACAACAGGTGCCTCGCTGTGAACGGGAACGACGTCTGCCACTGAAAGCCCAACACACTTAAATCCTGGAATATTCAGTCTGATCCCATGAAAAGTCAAACTCAGGATCTGAAGTGCTATTGAGACTCTTGTAATCATTAGGCTACCGACTCTTTCGCAAGTGAACCTTAATTTCATCAAAATAATCACATCAACTCTTGTACAAGTTGAGTGTTATGTTTGATTGGCCCTCCTAAATTTTAGTCAATGTCTCATCGAATGTTTGACACATGTATGGAGTATTAAATATAGACTAATTACGAAACTAATTGCATAGTTTGCGACTAATTTGCGAGACGAATTTTTTAAACATAATTAGTCCATGATTTGATAATGTGGTACTACCGTAAACATATACTAATGATGGATTAATTAGGCTTAAAAATTCGTCTCGTGGAGTACTGACGGATTATGTAATTTATTTTTTTATTAGTATCCGAACACCCCATGCAACATCCTCCCGACACATCTCCTAAATTTTGGTCACGGAATCAAACACCATCTTAATTTATCATATGCTGACACTAGACAGTAAATAAATTTGGGTGCGTGAGAGAGAAGATTTTCACCCGAACTTACATTTATTCCGTTTTCATTCATGTTGTTTAGGAAGAAGAAAGGGAAGAAAAAGAAAACAGGAAATTCAGGTCTGGGAGATAAGATTCCCAAGCACGGCATAGCAAAACAGTATAAATATTGAAAAGTAGAGAAGCAAGTACGACGATTAGAAAAAAATTTAACAAGTGAGTGAAAAAAAAACATCCCGTCTCATCCATCGTGTCTGTTGCGAGGAACCAATCAAGCCCATCTAGATTGCATCACTCCTCCAATCCGCTACGTGCTCCGTTTATCTCCCGACCATCCCGCGGTTTTCCCCTTGAAAAGTGTACCTGCTAGAACATCATCTTCAGCTTAAAAAAATATAGAGGAAGAAATACTGCATCAGCTGATTGAACTGAACAACATATGCACAGTATACTTCTGTTCCTGGCTCGAAAAACTGAACATGCGCTTCTGGTTCGTGGCTCGGAAAAAATCGTACAGTATGCTTCTTGTTCACTCCGCCGCTGCGCTGCCCGGCCGTCCACAATCGAGTGGACAGTCAGCTCAGTTCGCCAAGTCAGGGGAGTCATGCATGCGTCGAGTTCATAA